AATGCAAGATTACTATTGGAACAACACATAACCATATGTATGAAATATATATTTATACATATTCAATTTGTATTTAATCTGACAACAAAAAAATGAAGACCAGACCTGGAATTGAACAAGGTATCTTCCGCACAAGAGACAGTTACAAACCAAGTGCGCCACAGCAATATACACGTCCATAGAATCTAAACCACATATAATACATGAAATTAAGTCTTTCAACAAATTATAAATTTAATTTATTATAACTCAAACTACATTTTTCAAACAACTTATGGCACTTCTGACATTCTCCATGAAGTGTTATGCCCAAGGACCCAACATCAGCAAATGTCATTGGTAGTCACTGGGGATTTGAACTAGCAACCATCATCACCGTAGACCTGTGCTTTTCCATCTGAGCAACTGGACCGCTATCTCAAATACTGTTGCTTGTTGTCTTTTGTACAGGCTGCTTTCAACTGTATTTGTTTTACACGCTATTTATTCCCCACATGCCGTTTTAAACGCCATTTATTTCCCACATGCCGTATTAAACGCCATTTATTGTCCACATGCCGTTTTAAACGCCATTTATTGCCCACATGCCGTTTCAAACGGCATTTGTTCCCCACATGCCGTTTTAAACGCCACTTGTTGTCCATATGCCGCTTTACACGCCATTTATTCCCCACATGCCGTTTTAAACGCCACTTGTTGTCCACATGCCGCTTTACACGCCACTTGTTGTCCACATGCCGCTTTACACGCCATTTATTCCCCACATGCCGTTTTAAACGCCACTTGTTGTCCACATGCCGTTTTAAACGCCACTTGTTGTCCACATGCCGCTTTACACGCCACTTGTTGTCCACATGCCGCTTTACACGCCATTTATTCCCCACATGCCGTTTTAAACGCCACTTGTTGTCCACATGCCGCTTTACACGCCACTTGTTGTCCACATGCCGCTTTACACGCCATTTATTCCCCACATGCCGTTTTAAACGCCACTTGTTGTCCACATGCCCCTTCACACGCCATTTATTCCCCACATGCCGTTTTAAACGCCACTTGTTGTCCACATGCCGTTTTACACGCCATTTATTGTCCACATGCCGTTTTAAACGCCACTTGTTGTCCACATGCCGTTTTAAACGCCATTTATTCCCCACACATCGTTTTAAACGCCATTTATTCCCCACATGCCGTTTTAAACGCCACTTGTTGTCCACATGCCGTTTTAAACGCCATTTGTTGTGTACATGCCACTGATCAGCTGTGGCAGGTGCCGGTGCCACAAAAGGAGCCTGCCCTTTCTCGGTTACACAAGCTAACATAGACTTTTTGTACAAACCTGTCCTTTCCAACAACGCAGAAATGATTCCTTTTCTTCATTTATCTAATAAACATGTTCTGGTCCCGCCGACAGCAAACACACCTTTACAACCGCTGAAGATAGAACAAATTGCCATGACTTATTGATGAGTGGTTAATAATTGAGCCCCGCGAGTAATAATGCGTATAAGTGTCTGCTAAATAATAAATCAACTTCATATAGACAGAGCGGTCAGGATGTGGCCCGGGGCGAGACTGCATCAAAACAGCTGCAATCATGGGGTCAGTGCGGTTTCACTGCTGCTCTGTACATTTCATTAAGCAGAGAGTCCAGGCTTTTAAAGGGAAAGTTCTAAAACAAGTACTATTTGTGCACAGAGAAAAGGAGGCTGAACAAGGGTATAGTGATTTAATTATATACTGTAAATATCAACGGAAGTATTCATCCATCCATTTTCTTCCCCTTAATCCATTTCTGGGTCAGGGGGGTGGCAGTCAGAGCTGCACCCAGTACACAGAGCCTCCTGCAGGAGGTGAGTCCACAGGAGGACGGCTGCTCTCTGAGTGTGAGCATAGCCTTGATCTATCAGTGGGGGATTTGGGCAAAGTGGGGTTAAGTGTCTTGCCCAAGGACACAACGACAGCAGACATCAGTGGGAGTCGGTGGAGAAGGTGTCGAGGTGGGAATTGAACCCACAACTTTCAGACCTAAAGGCCAATGCTCTACCAACTGAGCTACTGTCGATTTCCTCCCTTGGAATGTATGTGCCACAGACATGGGCAGATTCAAAATGGCCACGGGCGGCCCCTCCCGCAAGAAAATGTGATATAATGCTGCACAAGCTTCTTTCATTTATCAAGTGCATTCAAAAGTCCACAGCGGCTAAACTAGGCTGGTCCAAAAAAATACTTCTCCCAACGTTGCTAGCCTCTGGAACGTAGCTTTGAGCCAAGAGCGACTTTTTTTATTTACAAGGTTTTAATTTTTATAACTTCAAGAGACCAACGCGACTCAGAGCTTGAAGGTAAAGCTAGCAGAGATGGCGACAGTAGCAAGCTTTAGCACGACCTAGCCACATTAGCAAGTTAAACAAGCTAGCATTGCACTAGCATTTTCTCCAACAATATACATTAAAATATTGAGATTAATTACATTAACTGTTTAGTACAAAATGTTGCTCAGATTCTAATAAAAGGCCTCTAATTCCGACAATAACAAAGTTTGGACATGTAGCAAAACGGAGCCATACCTTGAGCTAACTCCGGCGAGACGAGCACAAAGGCTCCTTTCCAGCTGCTGTAAAAACTAATAAAGCTCAGAAATTAGCCCAGGGCCGCACTTGGGACCACACGGTTAATAAAGTACCTGTCCAAACGCAATCTGTCAGCTAACGTGGCACGGCTAAACACAGCTAAAGCCATTTGCAAGGCCAAATTGGATTTTATTGGCAGTGTAATGAATTTAAATTGGACGTAACTGAAGTTCATTGTCTTGTGATGTCGCTGGTGAGAAGCAGCGTAATCTCCTCAAGTGTTGTTTACTCGTTCACTCAATACGACGCATCTCGCATAATTGTGTGATGATTGTTGTTCGACAAATTAGAGTTGTGATTGGCCTCGTGGCGTTTCGAAGATTGTGTACAGACGACATGTAGACACTTGTTTTTCTGGGTTTGAAGAGGCGGCTTTCATGTTGTAGAGATTTTATACTGCTTCTTTAATCTGCTAAAGTTACAGATTATAGACTTTGTTCTGCCACCTCTGTCGCCGGTTACTGTTTCACTACGATTTCCTATGTTGTAATTTTGTTGGAGGACAGGTGCCAATTAGGCTCATCTTCCAACAACTGAAAAATCAAAGTAAATCATTTGAACTAAACTTGAATTTGTGTTGTTTACAAAAACAAGACACACAAAAAAACATATTTATTGTTTGTGGTGGTGGACAAAGGGCAGAGGACAGCCGTGGTGGTGGACAAAGGGCAGAGGACAGCCGTGGTGGTGGACAAAGGGCAGAGGACAGCCGTGGTGGTGGACAAAGGGCAGAGGACAGCCGTGGTGGTGGACAAAGGGCAGAGGACAGCCGTGGTGGTGGACAAAGGGCAGAGGACAGCCGTGGTGGTGGACAAAGGGCAGAGGACAGCCGTGGTGGTGGACAAAGGGCAGAGGACAGCCGTGGTGGTGGACAAAGGGCAGAGGACAGTCGTGGTGGTGGACAAAGGGCAGAGGACAGCCGTGGTGGTGGACAAAGGACAGAGGACAGCCGTGGTGGTGGACAAAGGGCAGAGGACAGCCGTGGTGGTGGACAAAGGGCAGAGGACAGCCGTGGTGGTGGACAAAGGACAGAGGACAGCCGTGGTGGTGGACAAAGGGCAGAGGACAGCCGTGGTGGTGGACGTGGCAATTCCAAGCGATGGTAACATCCGGAAAAAAGAACATGAAAAGCTTGAGAAATACCAAGGTCTCAGAGAGGAGCTGGAGAGGGCCTGGAGGGTAAAGGTCACAGTAGTGAGAGGGCCTGGAGGGTAAAGGTCACAGTAGTGCCCGTGGTGATCGGTGCACTCGGGGCAGTGACCCCGAAGCTAGAAGAGGTTACAGCGGATCCCTGGAACAACCTCGGACATCTCGGTCCAGAAATGTGCAGTGCTAGAAAGATACTGCGCAGAACCCTCAAGCTCCCAGGCCTCTGGTAGAGGACCCGAGCTTAGAGAGGGATAACCGCCCACGGAGGGCCAAAGGTGAGAATATTTAAAAATGTCTTTTTAATATATTTTGGATTCTGTTACAATAAATTTTGACTTTGAAAGTCTGCTTCAATAGCGTTTTATTTTTGTTATAGTGTAGTGTAGTTATAGTTATAGTTATAGTGTAGTGCCAGCACCACCACCCGGTGGTGGTGCTGGCAGCCTCTGGGAGTGACCCATGGACCCTGTACAGGGACGTGTACTCCTCAGGTCCATGGTTGGACCTTCAGCTCCAGTGCCACAAACCTGAGGATCTTGGGGATGTGATCCGTAGTCCGGACTCTCAATGGTCCTGAAGTCAATAAAAGGCGAAAGTCTTCAGATCTGGGACCGACCGTGAGTCTCGTCCTGTCCTGTGCGCTGCATGGTTTCCTGATGGAAATGCAACCAGACAGATGATGGAAAAGAGGAGGTGTGGAACCATGCCCCAGCAGCGTCATGGCTGGTTTTGCTCAGACCCCTGGACTGGCTCAGACCTCGTGGCTTGGGCCTCAGGGGTCTCTCCTCTCTTGGGATTGTCCTCATCGTAGTATCCCGGATCTACAAGTCCAGCGCTTCAGCAAGACATCCTATAATACCTACTGCTTCAATGAATTGCTACTAGGATTTATCCATTTTAATCTGAAGCTCACATTCTCCCATCCTAATGTGGTAATAGTTATAATAATTAATAGTATTTAATGATTATAGTATTATATAGTAATTGCCACTCTTCAGGACAGTGGTAAAGTTTGGTATAATTCTCCTTACAAGCTGCAGTAGAGAAGAACAGCGGCTCAGAAAGCAAGAATGCATTCTTTTTCTAGCAAATGTCGGAGGCCTTTGTTAGTGTGGGTGCAGCGGGACACAATCACATCCAAACAGAGCGCGCTGAGCCGAGCAGGAAGAATACAGGTGGCGGAGCAAACAAGGACAGCTCCACAGAAGAGGCAGGTGCGAGATGCCAAAAGCTTTCAAGAAACCAGCGGAGACCATGGAACACTGTCGGCAAGGATTCTCACAAGGAGGAAACCACCTCATCGGGTAAAGAGAGATACATTAAAGGTCCCATGTTATGCTTTTTGACTTTTATATGCTTTGGACATCATCAACGAGCCATTTGGACTTCATACTCATGCTCAAAGTCATTTGTTCATGATTCCCTCGAGCTTTAGTTAGAGAACGAAATGACCCAACGTGAGCAGGAGAAGCCCGCCTCCAGGAAATGCTCAGCAGTGATTGACAGGTGAGAAATCAAAACAGACACGCCCAGGACTATGTTACGCAGTCCTGGATGTATCGCCAAAATCGGTTCACGTCACATCGACCTCTGTTGTTTGAGTGTCAGCACCACGAGACTTGGAGAAGATGTGTTTTTGGGCATAATTATTGACGACACTATTTGGCCCAAAGACGAAGAATACGCAAATGTAGCTGGACTGTACCTGTCTGTTCTCCACAAATATGTTTCTCTGCGAGCGACCGCTTCAAGAACTACAGTTACCGTGAAATGGACTTACTCAAAAACTGAGCTTGAAACTTAGTGTTATTCCCACAATACAGACCTAGTGCAAATGGCAAATAAATGAATCTGAATCTGAATAAACGACGCCAACGCAAACCGCTCTGTTCCTGAACTTCCACGCTGTGTGTTTATCACCGGGGTTCACAACAAAGTCAGCGAGAAGCTACGTCACCGAGTGTGAGAAGGACGGCTGTGGTCTGAGCTACATCTACGTAAGTGAGTAATATTTATCTGTATACGTAGGGCCTTTCACAGACCAGAGTCACAGAGCACTTTACAATCGTGGGCATTGGCCTGTCACTCACACAGAGGTGGGAGGGGCCAGTACTGGAGGCACAGACCTATTGTACATGTTTTTAGTGGTAGAAGAAACCGGAGCACCCGGAAGAAACCTACACAGACACGTGGAGAACATGCAAGCTCCAATCAGAAAGACCCTGTTCCAACCAGGATTCGAACCCAGAGTGCTAACCACTCAGCCACCGTGCCGCCCATCTCTGCTGGGGTGGGAAGAGGCGAACTCACAGGGACAGGAGAACCACTCGTTTCAATTGAGGTAAAATCCCATCTCTGAAAGTAATGTCTATAATTTTTGGGTGTTGTGTATAACCCAAATTAATTATCAATTATTATCGCACATATGATTAGGATGGACTGCGAAACAAGAAAAAGAGCAACGTATTGGACCGTTAAACATAATTTAAGCTATTTTTTGCATTTATTATGGAAGATAGATTCCCTTTAGTGCCATTTTAAAGCTGTTAAAACCTGTTTGTGTTGGTTCAGAGCCCAAAATCATCTGGGCACTTTTGCTAACACAAGCATTACTTCATGCTTCCAAAAGTTGTAAGAGCCTGAATAATTTATGATATGGTTTAGAGCGTGACATATGAAGCCAACGAGACAGTGGCGTGTTCGACGACGCACGCATTCTAAACGGCTCGGTCTCAGAGAGGAGCTGCTCTATAACCCTCGGCCTCTTCTCCGCATCTCCCTTCAATTCAAAGTCCTCAGTGTTAAACGTGTGCGGTCTTTTAGCATTTAGGGAAACCAGCGCCACGATACGGTAAGTGCATTTGGAATGATAAGTAGCTGCTCGTGAAGGCGACGAGCTGCTGCTGCCGCTGCTTTGATGCTCCACTGAATATATAGGAACGGGAAGTCTATAATGGGAAGTGATGGGGGAGGGGGCAAGGGGGGCAAGGGGGGGGGGGGGGGGGGGGGTGTAGAAATGTAACTGTGTGACAGGATCCGTGAGAAGAAGTGTTTGTGTTAACTGGTACTCTCTTTGACATTAACATAACTCATTTCAGCACAAAATAAATAGTTTTTATGGCTCAGATGATTCTTAAACGGGGTGGGCAATTATTTTTTTCCAGAGGGGCAAAAGAGAAAGATAAAATGTTGTGGGTGGCTGAGTGGTTAGCACTCTAGCTTCTCAGTAACAAGGGTTAAAATCCTGGTCGGAACAGGGCCGTTCTAAGAGGAGTTTGCATGTTCTCCCTGTGTCTGCGGGGGGTTTCCTCCGCGTGCTCCGGTTTCCCCTACCAATGAATGAATGAGTGAAGAAACCGTGTGGAGAAAATGAAACAATATCTGACTCTGAACATTGTGAAGTGCTTTGGGGGACCTTGGTCTGTAAAAAAGCGCTACATAAATAAACATTACTTACTTACATTGTTTTAGTACTGACTTTATCTAATCTGCATCAAAATATTTATAGTTTTCATCAACAGAATGGACACGGGTCACTACTAACTGTGTTTGTTTGTGGACTGCCAATAACAGAATAATCAGAATCTCACCGTTTCCTGTTGAAATTCTGATGCAAAAACAGCACAAATCCTTCTTCCAATCAGACTGAGCTCTTTCTGACAGCAGTGGATTCTGATGAAAGGTGTCTTGCTCATCGACACACGGTCAGGTGACATGATACAGTATGAGTTTGGTACAGATGCACATTAGGCTGTGGCCAAAGCAGCTGTGTTTGCAGTGCAGCTAATTGCAGAGATAAATATGCGGGAGCACAGGTACCTGGGGAGAGCTTAATGGTACAAGAGGTGGTACATTATTTATCTGCCACAGCTGCTTACTACACTGAGCTACGAGAAACATGCTCCTACTGCCTCTTTCTATACATCATTACTCACAGGAAGTAACCGTTAACACCGGCTCTGCCAGAGATGATGTCATCTATAACTTATTACCAACAATGAGGGGCACACAGGTACAAATAATGTGGAATACTCTAAATAATTATGAAGAAGATACTTGTCCAGCACTATTATTGTTTTCCAAAAATGTAAACCTTTTTTTTCCATACCCATCCCCATTGACAAAACAAAAAATTCAATATTTTAATGTCTGGGTTAAACAGTGGACGTTGTAAACACGGCCGGAGCAGCGTCTCACACACTCAAAGGCGCCACAGAATTTGTCACCATTATCCGGCCGAGTGACGGACAGCAGGTGCGTCTGTCGTGCGGCGCGCTGAGACTCGCCGTGTCAGCAGAGCGCCCAATCTCCAGCTCGCAGCTGTCAGCGTGCGGCGAGGGAAGCGCACGCCAGAGGATCAGCGGCGGCGGCTATTAGCGCTGATCCTGCGCCGCGGCCCAACAGACCTGCCAACTCCGCGGCTAATGGGCGAGAGGTGACGAGCTTCAGAATAGGAGAGATGTAAAAATGGAATATGCGAAGTCAACTTTAGAAATGAGAGCTGTGTCCGAGACGTGTTTTCAACTCTAAGAATTATCATCAGGTAATTAAGCCGTAAGTTGTTTTCACTGCAAGAAGTGATGACAAATAAGTCAAAATGTGTCTTACTTTGAGCTCTGCCTGAAAACCTTTGGCAAAGAGAGAAGCAAAATGTGCTTGTTTTAAAAATATACAAGAAATGTATCCCTTTAGGAATGAGAAAACGACAAAAACTTTCTTGAAATTAGACTAAAAGGTTTTAGACAGAACGTACTTAAATGGAGATAAAAACTATGCGATACAAGCAATTATTACTTCATATTTTATGTTTTTTGCAGTGAATTCACACCTGTGCCCGAAAGGAATTCTCCATGATCAGCTAACATGTCAATAATCCTTTTTGTCCAACAATAATAATACTACAAGTTTAGCTGAATTGTGAGTTTGACGTTGAATCTGGCCCTGTGCTGCATTTTTGTTAAAGCTGAGGTACCTAACTTTTAATCCACGACAACTGAACTTTGTGCTTGAATCCATCAATGTAGTTCCTTAATACAGTTTGGTTCTGACACTAGTTTTCACATACACTTATATCTTACCACCCTCACTCAGCCAATCAGCTCTCAGCGTCGAGACTCAAATGGCTCTTTCTTACAACATGAACTGTTTCTAAGAATATTCAAAAAGACAAAGACCTTCTGATGCAAAGAAACTGTAAGAAACTCGACGGTAGTCAAACAAAAACCCTAAATGGTTTCTGTGTGAGCAGCCGAGTGACAGCGCAGGGGTAGTTCGTGGAGCTCTGAAGCCTGGAGGCTGGAGTCGATCAGGGGGGGGGGTGACGGACAGGTGGCCCCCAGCCCCAAAGCACATGCTCGGCTTCGCTCCATACTTTTACAGAGTCCTGCCTCCAGCTCCGGCCTTTCCCCGACACAATCCATGCACTTGACACTTGCACCTGACAGGCCTGACAAAAAGGTGAAAAGTGAAAATGCAGCTGAAGTGGAAGCAAAGGAAGGTTTCTCACCATCATCTGTACTTCTTAGCAAGTACAGATGATGGGTGAGAAACCTTCCTTTGCTTTGACTAATCCCTGTACGACTGAGGGCTTACACAAAGCTGAAGTGGAAGTTCAGACTGGTAGACTATCCTCGCACAGGGCTGGCCCCTCCTCCTCACAGGGCTGGCCCCTCCCTCCTCACAGGGCTGGCCCCTCCCTCCTCACACCAGCTTCATCAACATAATTATGTTTTTATTATTTTATTGCATTTTAATATTGCTGGTTGGATTGGTGAGACTTGGGTGGCAGCTCTGATTGCTTTGTTTTGATTTCAACTGGAACGACTGTGAATCACCAAACGGCAATAAATGAAAGGAAAAGAATGATTGGAAGTACCAAAAAATGAGCTCTATTCAAGAACTGGTTAAACTCAAACCATTAGAATATTGTTCAAACGTCTAATGACTTCTAATCTTTCAACTTAACTTTGAAATGAATATGAAGGACTCAAAAACGCAAATATTGAGCATTTATTTGTTCCAATGTTGATAATTGTCTCTCAGCTTGTAAAAACCCAACATACAGTAATTATTCTCATTCTGCTCTCTGAAAATTATAAATGTAGATATTGTGAAAATCATGTTTATTCTGTTTTTAATGAAGAAGAACTCGGCTTTAAAAGGTTGTTTAGAAATATCATGTTGGCCTGTTTTCTGGACACACAAAGGATGTCATTTAAGGGTTTAATTTTACATACAGCCCCTTTAAACTGTTCTCACAGCATTTAACACAGAAATGGATTGGTATCTGCAATTTTCACACAGACTTTTCTATGTCAGGCCGAGACACAAATAAAAAAGCCCCAAAATATGTAAAAAAATAAAAAAGGCTCAGTATCTCATTCCGATTGAAGAAAAACCCAAACTCTCCAAATCTCCAAAGACAAAACACAGGATGCAACAGTCACTCCACACTTCCTCCCTGCGGAACATCCCGACACGTTAAAAACATTTCCAACAACAACAGCTGACCTCAAACGTCGCACACATTTCATCGCCTCATGTCACTAATTATGAGGATTTCATTTCCTTTTGACTGATCCAGACTTTTACTTCCTGTTTAACTCAGTCTACGTTTGTAATCCCTAACCCAAATCACAACAGTTGTCATCTCTGAGAACTATAAAAAGTTGCTGATTTGCCGACACAGATCAGAGAATCAAACTAGCAGTTCATTTATACAGAGACCAGCAACAGTCAGAAGGTCCTCCCACAACAACTGTGCAGTCCCACTCAGGAGAACCACATCTGGTCAGTCTGCTTTCTCCATAAACACGGCCAAACTGTGGCACTCGCTGCCTGTGTGTCCGTGTGTGTGTGTGTGTGTGTGTGTGTGTGTCTGTGTGTGTGTGTGTGTGTGTGTGTGTGTGTGTGTGTGTGTGTGTGTGTGCGTGTGTGTAGGTGTGTGTGTGTGTGTGTAGGTGTGTGTATGAGTGTGTGTGTAAGTGTAGGTGTGTGTATGAGTGTGTGTGTTCTTGATTGTGAGTGTGTATTGTCCGTATAGCTGTCGTTGGTGGGGGAATGTCTTAATGTTAGATAACTCTTGTAAATGTGTGTTTTTGGGCTAGGCCTTTTTTATTCATTCTGTTTAATGTGTTGCACTGTGGGGAAAAGCTCGACCAGGGACAGGAGAGAACATTAGCATTAGCATTAGCGACACACTCTGTATGTGTCACATCAGCTGCATCTTTCATAATGTAACTGTATGACTACATTGTCCCTGTCAAAGAAATAAATAAATAAAATAAAATAAAGAGACCAATGTCCATAAATGTCTGGTATGACATTGACGTGTCTTGGAGGCAGCATTTATGGCTTTGTGTGTTAAGGATTTTAAATGTTTTTCTATGTTCTATGCTTTCAACACTGGAGTTATGTGTTCCCTCCTGGTGCCTGTTGAGGTCCCTGCTGTCCTGCTGATTGCCTGATGTCTGATGGCCTGACCTGATTAACCCTCTGCTCTCTCTTATTGTCGGTCCATGTGTTTGTCGAGTGTCCAGTTCTTGTCTTCGTCCCCAGTTCAGGTTCCCGTGTTTTACTTCCAGTTGAGTTTTGTTGAATTCTTGTTTATTACATTATTCTTTGATGTTTCCACACCTGTTTCCTGGTTCTGCCTTCATGGTCCTGAGATGCTTGTTTTATAAAGTCCGCTGCCCAGTGCTGACCTCACTCACCTGTGTCTCCGTCTGGTCGTTATCAAACAACAGCAGAGGTTGTTCTCTGCCCGGGATGGTTCCATTTCCCCGGTGGGTCGATACTTGGCTCCGGCTCTTCGTCCCCTCGCCTTAGACCAGGAGTGGCCAACCCGCGGCTCGTGAGCCGCATGCGGCTCTTTGGCTTGTTCCGTGCGGCTCTCGGGCTTTCACATGACAAGCGTCAAAAACGCCTCGGTGGTGGCGCTGCCATTCATTCTCTATGTAGTTCTGACCAATAGTAAAGGCCGACCCCACTCCACTAACCAGGCCACCAAAACAATCTGACGTCGGCGAACGTCAATTCTGATTGGTCAGATGCGCTGTCAATCACTCTGCAGCTGCTGCCTCAGCTGTTGCAAATATCATAACAAACAACATGTTGCCTCGACCCATGACGTCCGTACGGAGAACAATTCCTTGGTCGCTGGATGAGGGCAACACCTTCCTCAGTTTGAGGAGAGGACACCAGCGTGAGCTCGATGGTTCCACCAGAAACCAGAAGGTGTTTGTGGAGCTAGCGCTAAGGACGGAGCAGAATGATTCCCACAAACATGACAATGCAGAGAAAAGTTAAAAAGCTTAAAAGTGACAACCGTGAAATAAAAGATCACAGCAGCAGAAGTAGAGGCAGACCCGAAAAGTCTGGAGGTGGTTTGACCAAATGGATTACATTTACGGATATCGGCTAACACCGGCTAACACCAGCTAACACCAGCTAACACCGGCTAACACCAGCTAACACCAGCTAACACCGGCTAACATGCTAAAACCAGCTAACACCAGCTACACCAGGAGATAAGCCTCTGCCTGGTGAGTGTCTGTCTTCAATCAAATGCAAAAGTATCTGGTCTTATACTGAGCATGTGTCTGTGGTTCTAAATCAGCTAAAGTGGTGTTGGTGTTATGTGTCAAATTTATATCTTTTACTAAATACAGTCAGAGAGAATCATGAATCATCAATAAAGACAGTTGTGTTTCTGCTGAACACTGGGTTGAAACTTGATTTTTTTTCTTGGTTAGAGATTGAAAGCATTCATTTCGGAATCATAATTGATGTTCGCTGACGTGAAATTGTTCTGGTATCGACTCGCCCGGTTAGAACCAGGGCTAGACCATTAATAAAAAGTACCGGGGAGCGGCTGAAGCGAGCGGTGGAAGCGCCTGCACCAGAGTCCAGTTCTTTAGTACTGCACCAGGGAGAGTCCAGTCCTTTAGTGCTGCACCAGGGAGAGTCCAGTCCTTTAGTGCTGTACCAGGGAGAGTCCAGTCCTTTAGTGCTGCACCAGGGAGAGTCCAGTCCTTTAGTGCTGCACCAGGGAGAGTCCAGTCCTTTAGTGCTGTACCAGGGAGAGTCCAGTCCTTTAGTGCTGCACCAGGGAGAGTCCAGTCCTTTAGTGCTGTACCAGGGAGAGTCCAGTCCTTTAGTGCTGCACCAGGGAGAGTCCAGTCCTTTAGTGCTGCACCAGGGAGAGTCCAGTCCTTTAGTGCTGCACCAGGGAGAGTCCAGTCCTTTAGTACTGCACCAGGGAGAGTCCAGTCCTTTAGTGCTGCACCAGGGAGAGTCCAGTCCTTTAGTGCTGCACCAGGGAGAGTCCAGTCCTTTAGTGCTGCACCAGGGAGAGTCCAGTCCTTTAGTGCTGCACCAGGGAGAGTCCAGTCCTTTAGTGCTGCACCAGGAGAGTCCAGTCCTTTAGTGCTGACCAGGGAGAGTCCAGTCCTTTAGTGCTGTACCAGGGAGAGTCCAGTCCTTTAGTGCTGACCAGGGAGAGTCCAGTCCTTTAGTGCTGTACCAGGGAGAGTCCAGTCCTTTAGTGCTGTACCAGGGAGAGTCCAGTCCTTTAGTGCTGCACCAGGGAGAGTCCAGTCCTTTAGTGCTGTACCAGGGAGAGTCCAGTCCTTTAGTGCTGTACCAGGGAGAGTCCAGTCCTTTAGTGCTGCACCAGGGAGAGTCCAGTCCTTTAGTGCTGTACCAGGGAGAGTCCAGTCCTTTAGTGCTGTACCAGGGAGAGTCCAGTCCTTTAGTGCTGTACCAGGGAGAGTCCAGTCCTTTAGTACTGCACCAGGGAGAGTCCAGTCCTTTAGTGCTGTACCAGGGAGAGTCCAGTCCTTTAGTACTGCACCAGGGAGAGTCCAGTCCTTTAGTGCTGTACCAGGGAGAGTCCAGTCCTTTAGTACTGCACCAGGGAGAGTCCAGTCCTTTAGTGCTGCACCAGGGAGAGTCCAGTCCTTTAGTGCTGTACCAGGGAGAGTCCAGTCCTTTAGTACTGCACCAGGGAGAGTCCAGTCCTTTAGTGCTGTACGAGTCCATTTCTGTCATTATCATGTTTATGACATTTACAATACATCTGTCTGAGCAGAGCACACCTCTCTCTGCTCAGACAGATTGTGTGTGTGTGTGTGTGTCTGCTCGTGTGCGTACGTGCGTGTGTAAGGGTTGGGGTGATGTTTATGTAGTGCACATTTGTATGATGCGGCTCTTTGCTCTAACACGGTAAAAAAAATTGGCTCTTAGTCTCTCACTGGTTGGCCACCCCTGCCTTAGAGCACCTACCCAAAGTTGCCGATTATACCTGTTCTGACAGACACACCAGGTGATTTTACCCATGCCTTCTGCCCATGGTGACCTCCCACTCCACCTTCCCTGGAGCCTCCGCCTGGCCTACATCTCTGTTGGGGGTGGTCCCCTGGGCCCCTGGCCTTGCAGGGGGTCAACACTGACCTGGATGCTCCCCCTCTGCTGCATGTTCGGCAACAACAGTGACTCCAGTATTTTACCGACAGTTCCAGTTCTCCATCCATCCATTTTCTTCCCCTTAATCCATTTCTGGGTTGGTGGCAGTCAGAGCTGCACCCAGTCACAGAGCACCAGCCCCTCACTGATCCTCCTGCAGGTGGTGAGTCCACAGGAGCTGAGATCTTTTCAGTGGGAGCTTCAGGCAAAGTGGGGTTAAGTGGGTTGCCCAAGGACACAACAACAGCAGTCATCAGTGGGAGTCGTGAAGTAGGTCTTACGGTGGACTCGAACCCACGACCTTCAGGCCAAAAGGCCAATGCTCAACCAACTGAGCTACTGTCGCCATCTGTAAATTATAATCCTATGGAACTTCCTCAGTGTCTCCATCGACCCCTCTCATCTGCACATGGACTATTCCATGCAGCGTCCCTCTGCACATGGACTATTCCATGCAGCGTCCCTCTGCACATGGACTATTCCATGCAGCGTCCCTCTGCACATGGACTATTCCATGCAGCGTCCCTCTGCACATGGACTATTCCATGCAGCGTCCCTCTGCACATGGACTATTCCATGCAGCGTCCCTCTGCACATGGACTCATGAACGTCTCGTAGCTCATGACTAACCGCTGCTCTTTACGACCGTCTCCGTTTGCATCTTGAGCCAAACACATTCCTAGTTTGTTTGCACCTTTGTTTGTCAGTAATATGTCTGGTTCTGATTCTGGTGTGTCCAGTTAAACCCTCTGCTCTT